TGTTGCACAAATAGAAATGTATGAGTGTTTTCTCCATCTGATACATAGCATAAATCAATATTTACATATCAAGTGAAAAGTACAGAACAACAACAATGTAGATCATTAGCGCTTAAAAGCCAATATAGAAATGATAGGTCGATCTGCACGTATATTACATTATAATATATATACATGTATATATATATATATTGTAATCATTGAAATATACATATATAAGACTTATACGAAGAGAAAAAAAAGGAAAGTCAAAATATCAATTAATATAGTAACAATAACATCGCTTTTTACAAAGAAAATGTGACATTATCTTACTTAGGGCCGATTATTCCATCTTTTGATAAATTTTACTGTTAGATAAATCTGGAAATCCATATATGATTGGGTCATCTTGCTACGTACAATAGATAAAATTTATTAAAAAGTAGAACAATGGAGCCTTAATGATATTGACAAAGTAAGCCCTTGAACAGAAAAAAGCAAATTAATAAAATCCTACATTCTGTGGTGAATTGAACGCACATTAAAGATACTAGAGTAGATCTATTTTCATTTTAGACGATCCTAACTTTCGTCTCCTCGCATTATAACGATTGTCTAATCGGACACATGTAATAGTAACACATGTAAATAAAAGAAATATGTACACTCGTTAAATAAAATATTATCATAATGTGATAAGTTTCTACGATCTACATATTCAAAAGAAATTACGAAAGCATTATATCATTCACCAAAAAAAAAATGATTAATGATGTATCCTCGTCCTTTATATCGACAATTACAAACTTATCTAATAAAATTTATCTTCATTCTTCTTTCTAATCTAAAATCTGCAGATGCCATTTGCTAATAAAAAATTCAAACTTTCAATAAATATAATAAAGCAAAATTAATAAAATATAATAAAAATATAAATAAAATATATGTAAAAAGATTAATGAAGTATAAATAGTATTCATTTTTCTTAAAATTATTGGAACTGTGTCACGCAGTAATTAGAGTTCTTTGATAGATATATATTATAAGGAAAATCAAAACATGGATTTTGAATCATAGATGCGAAGATAATTCTATTCTGTTAATAAATTACTAAATCCCGGTAAAAAATGTTGCATGCATATGTATAAATATGTATAAACATACATAATCAGACATATTTATAAATATGTATAATTATAAATATTTATAAAT